CATTCACTCACCTCCACGTTCCAACCACCTAGCCCCCCTCGTGCTGCCCACACTGGCCTTCCCCAGACCTGTGCCCATGCTGTTCCTTCTGCCTGCAATGCTCTCTCTCCGGCTGACCCCCAACCATCTCCACATGTCTGGATTCTGCCCCTCCCTCAAGGCACCTCCTCCGGGAAGCCTTCTTGTCTCTCAGTCTGGCACACCTGTCTCCCCAACCTCTCTTCTCCTTCCCCTCCAAAATGAGGAAGTGAGCTCCCTGAAGAAAACAGGCATGTCCAGACCATCTACTTTCTCCCCACAGTACCCAGCCCTTTTTCTGACTCATGGTTGGGGTTCGGGCCACCCCTAATGACCAAGCTCCACCATGCCCAGCTCCCTTCCAGGAGTAGGATGCCTACAGGGGTGGGCGATGCTAGGATTCTGCTCAGCCCACCAGCCTGGAGAAACGCCACCATTCCCAGGGCAAGGCGGCGTACGAGAGCAGGAGGCATTGCTGGTAGCTTTCTCTGTTAGACAAGGGACAGACCTTCTCCCGGTTTAACCCCCTGTGACCTTTGAACTTCCTGGGAGGTCAGCAGCACGTCCCCTTCCCCAGCTGTCTCCCTGTCTCTGGCCCGATGGGAGGGAGGGCCTGGCCCGTTCCATTTTGCGCCCGTATTGATCTGCTGGCAGCAATGGGCTGGATAATTAGCCAGGAATTAGGGTTTCTATTACAGCCAGGAGGCTGCTCCAGCTGATTTATCACCTGAATAATTTACTGTGATTGAAAGGAAATTAAAATGAACTCCATTTGACAACTGTGAGCTTTTATGGGCTTTAGTGAAGGCTCAAAAGCCAGATTAATAGCCTGGTGTTGGTTAATAGTCTGCCGAGAGTAAATACGGCAGGCTGCGAGCGGCCTTCCTGCCGCGGCCGGAGGAGGGACCCGCTCCCGCCAGGAGCGCTGGCCACGACAGCGTCAATGTGAGTTTTACTGAAACAGATTCCACCGTTGGAAACACATGCGTGCACACCAGCAGTTGTTATTTTTTTTTTTTTCTTCTCCTCCTCCAAGGTGATTTTTACTCACTCCACATGTAGGAAAAACAGAATTGCTTTTTCAATAACCATTTTGAAAAGGAAGTGTTTCATTGCCCCAGGAGTGGGTCTACATTAACCCCTCCTACCCAGGGCAAAGGGTTTACTAAGTTTCCCTGTAAAAGCCAGAGGCCTGGGCCCACCCGCCTGGGGAAGATCTTGGCAAGAAAAGCAGCAAGGTAGGGAAAGGCTCTGAGCACATGGCAGCGATGGCCAGGACCCCAGCCTGGCCCTAGGAGGGATGTTCCTCCCAGGACGGCATGAGTATGTTAGCTCTCTGAGCCTATGGCAAGATTCCGAGTTCTGGAAGGATAGGCAGACTCTGGCTGCAAAAGGTCAGTCCTGAAAACCAGCCAGACAGAAAACCGGGTCCTAGAATCGTTCAGGACATGGAGACCCATGGAACCATCTTGCACAAGATGAAGACAGAAGATCTCGAGGTCAGACTCCAGCTCTCAACAATCCCAGAAACTCCGTGGGCCTGAAAATGGGGTGAACAATCTGGAAAACAACATTCCAATCTGTCGAATGGAGCCCGTCCTGCTTAGCAGGCATTAATTGAACGCCCAGTGAGAAAAGGGATGTGAAAGCTCTTTGAAAACTGTGTACTGTCATGCATAGACAAGGAAGATCACGTTGTTAAATTGCCGTTGTTACTGTCGTTGTTGTTATCTTCGTAATCAAAATCATGGTCCCTACTACTGCAGATACGGAAACCAAGTCCAAAAAAAGTGACTTGCTCAACAGGGCAGTGCCAGGACACAAATCAAGCTCCCCTGACTCCAAGGCCAGGAAATGCTCTTCCCCACTGGGTTGCTCAATGAAAGTGACTGCAAGGCCCTCGCGGAGGCCATGAGGCCACAGGGATGCAGACCCAGACAGCCCGATCTGCTCCGAAAGGAAGGAGTAGTCAGGCTCCGCAGCCAGCACCTCAGGCCCCCTTTCTGTCCCCACTGCTGTGTGGCTCTGGGGCTCACAGGGCCAGGCCTGCAGAACATTCACCTCGCAGGGCGCGAGCATGAGGCGCTCAAGGAACCTGTACCCTTCACGCGCATCCCTGCCCAGCCTGCGGCCCCTCGCTCGGGCATCATTTGTCCACAGTGACTGGGAATCGGGCGCGAGGGTATGTCATTCATAGTCCAGTGCCTATGTGCGTGCAGAGCAGCCCCGCGGCCTCACCTCCCATCTCTCCTCATTAAGGCGCATTACGGGGAGGTGAAGCAGATTACCCAGAAAACACTGAGTCAGTCATTATCCCGCTGGAGCTTCGCCTGCAGGCCCCGCCTCGGAGCCCGCACAGTCAGACGCAGACGTGCCCACAGCGTTCTGAAGGACACTGCTAGAAACGGAGCCCTCGCAGAGTTTGTAATCCAGGCCTCCTCCCCACCCTTGTCCCTGATGCCGCCAGGGAGACATCGCCCTCTCTGGTTCCACACTTCATCAGCACCCACAGAGCCTTCCCCTGTCCTGCGGGCTCTGAGTCCACGTCACACTGCCCCTGTGAGACTGGGCAGAGCTGATGAGTGCGCGGCACTGTTCCAGGCTCACGGCCCGTGGGCAGGAAATATGTTGGAAAATGAGCATATGCGCATCTGAGTGTGAGTAAGTGAGTACACGCGGCTTCTGGACTCCTCCCAGGGCCGAAGCCCGACGCTCTCTGGCCAGTCTTTCCGGACAGTCGAAGCTGAATGAACTACAGTTGAGATTCTGAGTCTCGGTGAGAATCATGTGACACACACGGGACGTCTAACCCTGAGTGTCTGCGTTAAGAAAATAAGGGTTTACCAAGCGCCAGGGGCTTGTGCTATACAGGGAGGCCAGGCTGCGTGCAGAGGCATGTGCCTCACTCTTTACCACGAACGTGCTGGGTGACCTCAGACAAGCCCTGGCCTCTCTCTGGGCCTCTAAAAAACAAGGGGCTTGAGAGCTTGCCTCCATAGTCCCTGCTAGCCCTAAAATTATGTGTCGGCCGTTAGAAGATAAATTTTCTCCCAGATTCTGAAGAGAGAGGTGGGCCTCATCTAGGAAGCTTTCCTGATTGAGTCCTCTCTCTTGCTCCTCCTGTGTCAGATACAACGTGGTTCCCACCATCTCTCAGAAAGGCTCTGCGCAGTGGGGAGAAGCTGTTTGTGATGGAAACAGACTCTTCTTCTTTAACCCGGGGTCTGGAGTATGTGGGATCAGCTCTGTCCAGCACATATGACCACATCCTTCCTGGCAGAGGCTTCACTCGACTTGTAGGAGGAAGACCAGAATCCTTACCCCCGTCTATAAGGCCAGGCCCATCTCCCCAACATCATCCCCAACACAATTTCTGAACCCCAGCCACACTGGCTCTTTTCATTCCTCGTTTCTGCCACAAACCCTCTCACCTCAGGGCCTTTGCACTTGCTATTCCCTCTGCCAGGCACGGTCCTTCCAACCTGTGTCCCTTCTCCTTGTTCTGCCCAAGGCCTTCAGAGCTCAGCATAAATGCATTTCCCCCAGGAGGCCTCTCAGCCTCGCCTTAGGCTCTCAGGGAACCTCAGACATCTTTTCCTCAGCACCAAGCAAACCTGGAAGCAGTGATCCTTTGGGTAATTCTTATTTATTGTGATTCTTCCGCAGTCTGTAGGCTCCTTGAGAGCAGGTCCAAGCCCATCTTGTTCACTGATATACCTCTAGTGCCCGGCTCTGTGCCTTGCACAAAGCAGATACTAATGGATGTTTAAGTGAATCCATGACTTGCTGGGTAGCCTTAGGCAAGTTGCTTTGCCTCTCTGGGCCTCAGTGTCCCCACGTGAAAACAAAGTGGCTAGATGATCTGTAAGAGCCCTCACAAGAACTGCTCAGAAGCAGCCAGACTATCATAAGAGGGTGGCCCTAGAGGCCTTGCTCACTCCTCAGCACCCAAGGTTTCCTCCAGTACCCCACCTCTGGGTGGGAGCTTATGCATGGGACCTCCACTGTTTTGAATGGCTTTGGGGAAAAACTCCAGAAGCATCAACTAATTAGCATTTAGAGGAAGCTCAGCAAGGCCGGTCCTCACCACCAGTACCAGCTAGGAAAGTCCTGGGGAAAGTCATTGTTCATAGGGTCTCTCTGACTCGCCCAGCAGATGGGAGCGCTTGGCAGGCCAGAACCACGTGCGTGCAAGGTATCCAGTCAAGGGCCTGGCATAGTCCGAGCATCAGGAAATAGTCTTCTCAATCGAATCTGGTACTTTAGGGACCTTGTTCAGGCCCCAAGAGCCTCTCACTGGCAGAGCCTTTCTGGTCCCATCTCTGGTCCCAGTCATAGGCAGCAACTGCTCCTCTGCCCAGGGTGGCACAGGCCGGCTGCTCCCCGGGGTGGGTGGTCCTACTGCTTTCTACCCTCTCTTGCAAATAACTCAGGTAGGAGTTTGTCCAATGAGACATTTCTTTATCTGCAGACTCTTGGATTCAGTCTCTAAAAACATGACAGGGCAACTGACAAGAGAGCTGACCCAAGAGACGTGTGCACAAGTACCATCCTAACACCGCTCACAGCCAGCAAGCCCCTAGCTACATGGTGGCTGCATATTGCCACCATCACCCTGACTGACAGGAGAATGACCCAAGACCACCTCAAGTAGCCCAGATGATCGTTATACCCCCCTGTGCAAAGAGCCCTGGGAAAGGACACTATTCAGCAATGGCAGAGCAGCCGGGCAAGTCACCCATCCCCTAGCTGGCCAGAGGGACAGGGGCACAGGGCAAGAAGCCACCAGAGCCCCCAAACAAGTCCTCCTGATCTCGTGGGATGTTGTGACTGGCCAAGTTTGACCAAGAACAACGAAAAGCCCACTCTGAGCAGAACCTGGAGTGCCCTCACCCACACCCCGCAGATGCCTCTGCCTTCAGGAGAGCGGCCTTGGCCTGCGTGGCAGTGGCGGCTGTGTGGGCGTGAGTCACGGGGCGTACCTGCTCGGGCTTGATGGGCTCCGTGGTGGTGAAGATGTCCGAGTAGTGCTGCCTCTCAAACACACGGTCCAGCACCTCCAGCTGCTGCTGCGTGAACAGGTCTCCCCGCATCTGCTTCCGGAGGAAATCTCTGCCCGGAAGTGAGTGACCGTTCGGCACCGGAGACTCCTGAATACCTTTGATGAGCACGAGAGAGGAAGGGTGAGTGGAGGTTACACATATTGCTAAAGAGAGACAGGTCAGACCCTGAGACTGGGAAGAGGGCCTGAGAGATCCTTGGGTCCAGCTCCCTCCCTGACAAGAGAGGAAACAGGCAGGGGCTCAGGTAAGGGGCTGCCTTGCCCAGGGTCACCTGCTGGTGAGTGCAGAGCCAGCCGCCCATAGCCACATGCCAGGCACCTTGCAAAGTCCTTTGACACGCATCATTTCATCCAGTCCTCATGAGGACCGCCAATCTACGTTATTATTGCCCCACTTTGCAGATGAGAAAATTGAGACCTAAGGAGATTAAATTATTTGCCTGAATATTTGAGCTCAGGTTGACTCAGCAGCACAGTCATCAGGTGACTGGTTATTGCCCCTCCTGTACTGAAGATCCTCCTTGAAGGTACAGTTTTTGCCAGAGCTGATATCCTTACCTCAGACCTTCGCCACCATATCACATGACCAATCAAAAAAACACTGTGCTAGGAAGGTGGTAGGAAAACAGACACTTTCATACAATCCTGGTGGAAGTGGTCACATACCTGTGCTAGACAATTTGACAAACTCCATCAAAATCACAAATGCACATCCCCTTTGATACAGTGATCGCACTTCTGGGAATTTATTTTACAGCTATACTGTAAAATAGCCTAGCACATATGGGAAGTGATACAGGTACAAGGTTCTTGTAGCAAAGACTGGAAACGATCCAAGAGTTTATTTGAGGGGGGCTGGTGACATGAGTCACGGCATACTCGCACATTGGAATACCATGCAGCAGCTAAAAGGAATGAGGATCCCCTCTGTGAACTGATAAGATCGTCAAGATGGGTTGCTATGCGAAAAATAAAAAACAAGGTACAGCACAGCATATGTAACATACAACTTTTTCTGTAAAAGAGGAAGAAAATAAGACTTTATATGCCATACATATATATATATATATATATATTTATGAGATACATGAGAAACATTTACAATGGTTACCCATTTGGGGAGGTTGGAGCTGAGGGACAGGAGGTGAGGGGGAGACTTTTTGTAGTGTGCCTCTTTGGTTTGGTTTCAGAAGTTTAAATGTCTTGCCTATTCAAAAACATAAATTTAAGAAACTACAAGATTCAGTCCCCTATGTGTTGTTTTTTTTTTTTTTTTTGAGACAGAGTCTGTGTTGCCCGGGCTAGAGTGCCGTGGCGTCATCCTAGCTCACAGCAACCTCAAACTCCTTGGCTCAAGTGATCCTTCTGCCTCAGCCTCCCGAGTAGCTGGGACTACAGGCATGTGCCACCATGCCCGGCTAATTTTTTCTATGTATTTTTAGTTGTCCGATTAATTTCTTTGTATTTTTAGTAGAGACGGGGTCTCGCTCTTGCTCAGGCTGGTTTCGAACTCCTGAGCTCAAACAATCCGCCAGCCTCGGCCTCCCAGAGAGCTAGGATTACAGATGTGAGCCACCGCGCCCGGCCCCCCTATGTGTTTTATATTGTTAGCTATTCATGCTGTAAGTTGCTGGTGATGATGCTTACCTTTCAAAGAAAATATTATAAATTATCAATAAAAAAATAATATGATGAAATATCTTTTGTGAGTCTTGGGCTTGAACTGCTCAAAATGAAAGCAAGCACAAAGGGCAAGTTCCCAGAGCGATACTGGAACCCAGGCCAGAGGCGGCATCTGCCCTGGCTGCTGGGAAGCCCTGGGGAAACCAGCGAGGGTCAGCTCTCACGCTGAAAGGCACCCCTACGGGAGGCCTGCTCTGCCCCCCTAAGCCCGCCAGGACGCGGCTGTCCTAGACTAGACTTCATCCATCATGTCAAGCCCCCACCCATGGGAGGAATGAGGCCAGACCAAGGAGTGTGGGCAGTGGGGTATCATGTCACTGAGACAACCAAGAATTCGGTGCTTCCTAAAATGTCCTACCTGGGGACAACTGCAACGCAGGCACTGATGTTTGAACAAAGACACCAGCTTTGGGCGTTTGTAGCAGTGTTGGTATCTCAGAGCCCCCATGGACGCCGACAGGCTCAGGGGACCCAGCATCCTCCATGGGAAGGACCTTCGGAGGCTGCTCCTGGGCCCTCCAAGAAAGTGGACCCCACATAGATTTTGACCCAAGAGGACACTGAGGCTGGGCCACAGCCTGAACGACAAGACATCCCCATGTTGGGCCAAGGCAGAAGCTGGCCCCTGACCAGATGTCCCCAGCCTAACACCAGGGTCCCTCCTCTGGCAGCCTGTGACACTGGCCTTCCACAGCACAGGTGCCTGCTCCTGTCCGCAGGATGTCATCCTTAGCGACCCTTCTTCCATCACTGCCCATCCCCATGGGACCATTCCCACAAGGTCACCAAGACTGTTAGCATAGGGGACTCACAGCCCAGTCAACTGCCCAGCAGTGTTCTTCCATCAGTCAGCTTCCACCAAAGGACCCCATTCTCAAAGGGTCTGTGCACCTAAGCACACATGTATGTGCGCACACACGTACACACACGTACACACACACACACACACACACACACAAGATGACTCAGCCCATTCCTACTCAGCTATTGCACTGCCTAGTCAACCTGGTCCCTGTCACTCCTGCCAAAGTCTGATCTTGGACCCCTGTGCTCCCACCAGGTTCCTCCCTGTCAGAGAGGTCACACCCACTTTTAAGAGACTTTTCCTGCCCACCATCTTCAATTATACTCCCCAGCTGCCCCCATTCTGCCAGCCCAGCCCAAACCTCAATGAAGCCCCCTTCCTGTCAGCCAGTTCCTAAGGACTCCCATGGAAGCCTCACTCAGCCCCCTCTGGGCAGGGCCCAACTGCTCCCTGCCCTCAGACTGCCCATCAGCCGTGCCCAACTCTGCCCTCAAGGGAGGCCTCTCCCAGCCAGGCCAGCGCCCCAGGTGTCCTCGGCCTGCTCCCTCTCCCACAGGACTCACAGGCTGGGCTTTTTCCATAGCTCAGAGCCCAGAAGGGCAGAACTTCACCTCCACCGAGGGCCTCCTTGGGCACAGTCACTGTCTGGTCACTGAGAAGGGCCTGGCACAGAGTAAAGGCTCGGGGCACAGGGCCCTCTCAAGTGTATGCACCAGGGGTCCTTGGAAACCCTCCCCTTGAGGACTCCACATGTACTCGGAGCACAGGCCGCCTCGCTGGGACCTGCGCCACCCTCTGCAGAGTCTTCCAGAAGAGGACTGGCTGCGTTCTGCTCTGGCTTTCTGAAAATCAGCCGTGGCACCCATCGGCTGAGCCTATAAGAACACCAGGCTGCCTTGGGGAAGATGGCAAGCCGGGAACAGCCTGCCTCTCTGGGCATTCACCCCGACCCCGACCCACGGGTGCTCTTGCTGCTCACACCCCTGCCAGCACCTCCACTTACTTTCTTTATAGGGGAGGGAGGCATTAAAGTCTGTCACTTCCTAGAGAAGGCTTGGGAACCCTCCTAATCATCATTCGTTGATTTAACAAATATTGATAAAATGTTTACTCTGTGCCAAGTAAGATTTTTTAATAAATAAATATTTTTATTTTTTATTTATTTATTTATTTTTTTGAGATAGGGTCTTGCTCTGCCACCCAGATCGGAGAGCAGTGGCATCATCATAGCTCACTGCAACCTCAAACTCCCCAGCTCAAGCAATCCTCCACCTCAGCGTCCCAAGTTACTGGGACCGCAGGTGCTCACCACCATGCCCAGCTAGTTTTTTTTAATTTTTTCTAGAAACAGGGTCTCACCATGTTGCCCAAGCTGGTCTTGAACCCCTGGCTTCAAGCGATCCTCTCACCTAGCCTCCCAAAGTGCAGGGATTATAGGCGTGGGCCACTGTGCCTGGCCTATTTATTTTCACATTTTTAAAAATAAAATAAAACTAAACAGGGGATACAGTGATGACCAAGACAGGCCTCTCTTTACAATCCAAAGAGGGCGGCCCATTTTAGTCAAGCAATCCCACAAATGAACATAGAATTCCAAACTGTGATTGATGCTCAGGAGAAAAAAGCACGTAGAAACACATGCATGCGGCCATGTACAACCAGGGAGGGGAGTGAGCGCACGTGTGGAGAAGAGTCAGGGACGTCCCCAAGGGGAAGCCACGCTTGAACTGCAAGTGAAGGATGATGGGTCGCAGGGCAGAAGGTGGGTGGAGGGTGCCACACAGAGGAGACTGCCCGTACAAAGGCCCTGAGACAGGAAGGAAAGGCAGAGGGAGTGAGGGAAGAGACCCCAGGAGGTTGTGGAGAGGGGGCCGGAGACAGAACCTGAGCCTTGGGGCAGGAGCCGAGCGGACACCCTGGAGAGAGCTGGGGAAGCAACTGCCCTCCACATGTCTCAGTCCCAGGGCCTGAATTGCTCATCCCTTTAGGTCAGGCCATACTTTCTAAACTCTGCTCCCAAGCCTCCTCTTTTGGCAGAAACTAGGGGCCAGCAAAGGTGGGGGTTTGCATTTGTTTGTGTTTGAAGGTGATGCGCTGGAGTCCAGATGTCGGCCACAGGTGACCCAACAGGCCCATATGGAATAGAAACCCTTCCTCATTGACACGCGCCTGGTTTCCCAGACAGATACACCTGCACGCACACGTGCCTCCTCCTCCAGGACGCCTTCCTTCATGCCCCAGCCAGGGCCCCAGCTCCGATTCTCAGGGCTCTGACCACTTTCTCCCTTATCTTAGGGGCCAAGTCCCCTGGGCCCTTCACTCCCATACTGTGCTCTTAGTGACCTTCGGGAAAAAGACTGCAGGTAATTCATCTCTCTCTCCTCCACAAGGAATATTTGTGGGAGAAATAAATAAATTATTAATACCTGTGACAACCACCTTTGCTCTGCAAGTCTGGTCTGCAAATGTCAGGATGCCTCCATCTGACCTCGCTCATTCATTCTTCCCTCAGCCAAGCTCGGTGAGCACTAACGCTAGGGATACGGGTGAAAGCTGACCCAGCCCTTGACCTCACAGAGTCACGTCCAGTGGAGGAGGCAATTATTCA